TGGGGCTTATTTTGGGGGTAAGGCTTCTATGACGAGCATCCTGAAAAATCAGACTAGGGCTTATTTTCAGGTTATTTTCAGGGAAACAGAGTACAGTACAGTAGAGTAGAAGAGGGGAGAAAGAGAACTCTTCTCCTAAACTTATTATTTTAAGTGCTATTGGGAGGTATGTAAACAGCACACTTTACCTGCAATAAACTTTACAAGCTCTGGATTGTAGCTTTTAGGCTGAAAATGTCCCCATTCACAAATATGACAAGTCCTTGCTTTATTTATTTTGCTGAGTGAAAAAATGTTGGTTAATGATGGGAAGTCCCTAGTAGGGCTTCCCCTTTTAAAAATAGGCCCTACTTTAAAAAAAACAACAACCAACAATCTGTCTAATGGATATCAACCAAATTTCTTCTTTGCATCATCTACATAGAATTCATTGCTTGCATTATTTCAGTTTGGCAAGGACTGTTATTTGAAAATAAATAAATACCCTGATTCCCCAAAAATAAGACCTAACCTCAAAATAAGCCCTAGTATGATTTTTCAGGATGCTTGTAATATAACTCCATTTTAGCAGATAATTTTAATCTTTTTAATGTTTTCATATTTTAATATTTTAATTGTATTTTAAGTCATATGTTGTTTAATCTGTCTTTTAATATTTAAGTTACTGTGTTTTTAAATTGTGTGATTTTTAATGCTTTAGGTCCCTCGTTGGAAGAAATGTGGCATATAAATAAAACTAATAATAAATACAACAACAACGAATAATAAAGTGCTTAAAGCACTCTTGTGGCATATAAATAAAACTAATAATAAATAGAACAACAACTAATAATAAAGTGCTCTCTGGGCACTTTGCAGCTTAATTATGTAGGATACACATTGCCCCCCTCCCCACAGCAAGCTGGTTAGTTTATTAAACTCATAAGGATAGAAGGCTGAGTGAACCTTGAGCTGGCTATCTAGGATTGAACCCAGATCAGGAGCAGAGTGTTAACTGCAGTACTGCAGTTTAACCATTGCACCATGAGACTTCTGTACACTTATACATCAAACATTCAGCAGTGATCTGAGTCATCATTATAAGGTAAACAGGTTTAATTTGAAGAAATCCCATTGTAAAAGAGAAAATGGGCTAATCAGATTAAGTGAATATTCATTCCCTTTAACATCTATTCTGGCACTTGCAAATTAAGCCCATGTTTATCTTGCAAGGACCAGTCACAAAACAAGTCACACAAAATACAAGTTATACAGGTGAGAAAAATCTCATGTAATGACACTCAGATGTCTTTCATCACTTGAAAGAACACCTCTTCTAAAAATGTGTTTAAACACATAATCTAAAATCCTATTGCTTTTATATCCTTCAGTGCTGCTGGCTAACTTTTCTTTTTAATTTTAATGTCGTGAAAAAGCCAGAGGGTACATTGATGGTGTCACATCTTGACCTATGTCTCTGATATTATG